GTCAGCGTCAATATTAGTTTTACTAGGATTGCAACCACGGGATAAAGACCTTCCATTTATACTTTTTAAGAAACTTGGATGCTAACACAACCAAAAATTTAATTTATTTTTGACACATGCGTTTGAACATAAACTCATAAACATCATTATTATCGAGTCTCAAGTTGAGGCAACCCAAATGAAACTTATGAAGACTATGTAGTGAAAAAAGATAACAGTTTAAATCTCATTTCAGGGTTCAAACGATAATTTAATATTCCGTAAATTTTTTTTTTTTAAAATATGCATTCCTAGGAAATATTTTCACATAAATCGATATACACAAACCCTATAAATCATTAGCAACCATTAATACCGGTTATTTTGTTATTGTATTAACCTAAACCACGCAAGTAACGTTAAGACCTCTTTACCTTTGTGTGTATATATATATCATTCTAATTTCCAATGATTTCGTTGGTGAAGCCAACAATCTCCGACGAATTTATACGTGGATTTTTCTTCTTAATTTGTATTGACGATGACTCTTTGTGTGTGTGTGTTTTTTTTTTTTTTTGTATATTCTCTTAATCTCCAGTAGTTAAAGTCTACAATTGTAAACTAATAATTCTATATCTTTGGAAGAGAATCAGATAGATAAAAAAAACATGAATTAGAACTAATTTGCATCTGTTTTGACATTCCATCAATTTGTACATGGGATGCTTTCAACTCTGTTAGCATATTTTCAATCAAAATTGGCAATTTGAAGGATCCCATTATTTTACAGTAAATTGGTCTGGTACTCCAATGAAAGATGGATTAACGATCATTTAAAATAGTGATCCGATCCAACCAAAACATTTAACCGATTCAACCCAATCCGGTCTACTAGAAACACAAAATGTTGAAACATAAAAGCAATATGTTTTAGTTTCATAAAAGCAATATATGTTTAAATACAATCCTTCTAATGGATCCTCAAGTCTCGCACACACTATATAGACCGACTTCTTATATATGTGGCCAAGGATCATTTAGACTTAAGTAATTAGAAATTTTTAGTAAACACGGTCAACCTTTTCATTGGTTCTAATATATATACTTATAATAATGATGCTTAGATTCCCATCATCTTATTATAAATTATAATACAATGGCTTTTTTCATGGTTCTTATGTTTTAAGTAAATTATAAAACAAATAGCCATGATTAACAAAATGTTCAATGGAAAAAATTAAAGCATAGTATATATTTAGGACAACTGTTTTTTCAAAAGCGGTTATTTTGAAGACGTTACGTTTAAAAAATAACCATAAAGTGATTATTTTGAAAAGACACAACTTTTGAAAAAACAGTTATATTGAAAAGACACAACTCTTCACAAACGGTTATAATAAAAGACGCAACTCTTGACAAAACTGTTTTAACGAAACATGTAACTTTTGAAAATAACTATAAAAGCGGTTTTTGTTAAAATGAAAAGACACAACTCTTAACAAACGGCTATAACTAAAAGATGCAATTATTGAAAATAACCATAAAGCAATTTTTGTTGAGAAGACGTAATCATTCAAAATAACCATAATGCGGTTCTAGCAAAACCTATAAATAGAAAATGGTTTTTCGAGAAGACACAATAAAAAAATATTTATTTGTTTGGGTTTGCTATTATATATAGATTACTGTAGTTCTATAAAAAATGGAATATTTCAAGAAATTTCCAAAATAAGATAATTTTTTACTAAATATTATTACAAATTGTTATTTAAAAAATTATTTTATTTTTCGCAAATATTTAATAAATATTATTACATTTGCTAAACTTATAAATGGGTTGGTTTATTTCATTTCGGTGGTTATTCAAATGAAATAAATTTTAACAATTTTCTTTTAAAAATTGTTATATAGTTACTTAAATCTCATGCGAAAATTTTCAATTTACTGCTTTCAGTTTTACCATCTGTTTTTTTTTTTTGGCAATTTAAACTAAAGATTTGGCTGTTTAACAAATAAACATCTTTGATGGATATAATTATTCTGGAATGGAAACTATTGAGAAGATATTGGAAGACTCTAACCAATGGTTTATGGCACAAATTGTTGAGAGATCCTTGCAAGCATCAACGATCATTCGACATGTTAAGATACAAAATCGTTAGAACCCTCTTTAGGACAATTGAGTCAAGTGCAACATCGGTTCTCTGTATGGAACAAATCTTCTAGTGATGGTGGTATAGCTTCGGTTTTGAGAAACGAGAATGGAAAAGTTTTGATGTATGGAAGAAGATCTTCTCTTTGGTTAATACCAAACTAGATGCTTCTATGGAATTTTTTTTATGGGCTGTAGACAGTATCTTCATCCTAAGATATACCAATGTTATCTTTGCAGTTGAAGACTCGGATTTATTTGGTTGTGTAACCAGACCTCAAGTTTGGCCTTCTTTCAAATATCATTCGGAGATGCTTAGCATATTCTTGAGTTTTCTTCTTTTAGCATCACATCACAATGTTTCTAATCGGCATCTAACACCTTTGATTCATTCATACCGAGTGATATCAAACACATGTTATCTCAATCCTTCACAAAATCTCCGATTAATGACCACTTGCGGAATAATTTGTCTTTTTCTTTGTGTGATAGAATGCACTCTTTCTCGAGTAATTTCTTTCTGTAGCACATAATTATTTACTTAGCTAAAGACGTAGAGCTACATCTTTAACCAATTAGGTCTCAAATGAGTAACAACTCCACATATTCACAATTGATTTATATCCATCGCCTTTGACTATTACGAATCTCATGTGAGTTAAATAGTTAGATATGTTTGCATCTAGTTTTGATGAAATCACATAATAACCAGGAAAAAGTCTAATC